TTGATAATTCTGATTTTCTGTTTAGGAGCCAATAATAATTTTTGAAGATTAGATCTATTTTGTTGTTTTTTGTTCTTTATGTGTACTTTCCAGTTGAGTTTCCTATCTAAGTGAATGCCGAGATACTTTATTTATACTTTTTTTAATTTATTGATAATTTACGATCTTGCCCGACATATTTTACGATCTTGCCAGACAGATTTCCCGTAGGGTATTAAATTTACATAAAATTTTTACTAAATTTTCATAACCTTTTTAATATTTTTCTAACAATATTAATTATCCGATAAAGATATTGATTTTAAAACTCAATAATTGTCATGTTAAATTGCAGCATTTTATTATCCTTTTATTATTGTTATTTTATTTAATTCTTAGAAATATGAGATTGAATCATCTTATGAAATTCATCGTAATCGGATACGATACATATATGTTTATTATTTACATTTCAAACAGTGCTCTGTTTAGACACTATGAGCATTAGAGCATTTTAGGCCTATAAAATATGAATTGTGAAATTCAAAGTGTATATTTGAAAATGCACAAAATTATTATTAATCGTAAAATAAGTGAAAATCTGGCGCAAAATTCTTGCTCACCTTACCAGAAATCCTGTTACAAGAAATATTAGCGTCGGTGTGCACCGGGCTTTTAAAGCTTGAAATTTCAATTTGCATTGACTGACTTACTGCAATTTTGCAGTGTTCTTCGGTTTATTGGACTGGAAAACTATTGAATTTTTAGCTACGGGCATATTTTCTATAATTTCGATTAAATTTGTAAGATATCATAATATATTCCTTTCTTTAAAATACTGATACGGAAATACGCTAATTGAAGACGTGATAGTCAGATTGGGGCAAAATGGTTCGAGATTTTTCGAGCCGAATAATACCAACGTTCGGCAAATGGTTCGGCCTGCCTTTGCCAAAAACTAATTACCATTTTTCCCAATCATTACTAACTGAATGTTTTTTAGATCATTCAAATCGGATGCTCCGTTCTCTCAAAACTCGATTTCTATTTTTCTGCACTCTTTGATCTTTATCTCCGTAACTGCTGGACTCGCCTTTGCCAAAACTATCAGCACATCTCCCTATCAATAAAATCGAATGTTTTTTGAACCATTCAATCGGTTATCCGTGCGCCCGAAAACGTGGACGAAAAATTGTATCCATCCATACATACACACCTACACACACACATCCATTTTTTCTGAGTTATGCCAAAACGTTCAGAAACCTTCGAAACGTCGAGGAATGTAAAAAATTTCAATTTCGATTTTCGGCCCATTACAATAACTTACCCTACGGGAAGTTAACAAGAAAATGGAAATCAAACAATTCTGTTGATAACCGGAATATATACTAAGTGCATAGTCTACGACATTTATGCTCTTTCCATCTATATTTTTTGCAATAATATTTCGATTTATGAAGATTACTCACCGATAATTTCGGCTTTGAGAACTGCATTGGAATTGACACTGCAAAAACCCATCGGTCCTTCTTGCGTAACATTATACACATTATTATCACAAACTAATATTTTTGAACAATTCACAAAATTAAAGATAAATTGCGATTATGTATAAAAACTTTAAAAAAATATAAATAGATTATTGCGAGTATTAATTCTAGATTATATAGTTTTTTGAATAGACTTGCGAAAATAATGTATTTAAATTTAACACTTATTAACCGTACGCCGAAACTGACACTTTGTAAGCACGACACAGTGACAGCCAAATATAAACAAGTATAACAGTTGGTGACAACAGTTTACGGAAAGAAATAAAAGTTTTTACAACTTTGGCCGACGGGTTGCCAACACATAATTGAAACATTTAACAAACTTCAAGGCAATGGGAGGGCGCATTTATTTGAAATACAACTTTTTGCTATTATTTTTAAATATGTTCCAAACAAATATATACAATTGAATTGAGATTTGAATTATAGGAATACAATAAATAGGATATGATAGCATTAAATTATCATACTGGTTTTTCTGAAGACATAGTATAATTTTTGGTAAATTTTTATTCATTTATTGAAATGTACTATTTCTATTTTTCAATATTAATAATAAATTATATTATAAAAAAAGTGTTTCAATGAATTTCCACATATTTATCGTATCCACCTCTCTATTTCGACTTATTTTATAGATTTTTCAGTTAGAAATTTTAAAAGTCTTAAAAATCTTATAGTCCTAAAATGCAAAATTCTAATAACAAATGAAATATACAAATTCAACCCTTGGCACCTAGCTCAGTGCAAAATATTTTTCACTATTTCTCTGTATTCTCATGTTGTTATTCATAATTGATTTTTATATTTTAGCACCCTCCGAAAAGTATAAAAGTTTTGAAGGTGAAGAATGTACTTCTATCTTATACCATTTCCATCGAACATACTTGCGCCAATTACCGTTGATCAGAGCATTGTGCGTTCCAAACTATAAACTCCGAATTCCTTGGAGAATGTGCCAGAAATCAACCCCCACCCGAGAAAAAAACTCCAAGAAGAAAAAATATTAATTTCAGAATAAGTTTAACTAATTCATTAACGAACCATTTGAAGAGCTAAAACTGACTGAAAGAATCGGATATTCATTTTAAAAAGTGAAATTTAAAAAATAATATTTAAAAATATTTTAATGGTCACACTTTAAAAACTGATGACCTGAACTCTCATACATAATTGTTGTTTTTTTTATTACAAATCTAACAATTATTATAATAATGAACTATATTTAAAATAGAAAGACAAGTTCTTCAAAAATGATGAAACCAAATTTTATAATTGTCTGATGCAACAAAAATTTTATAATTTTTTATTATACTCGCAAATTTGTGAAAATAGATTTATAAAAGTTTACACAGTGATATAAGTGTCTTTATCCGAATTTTTGTAATCCACTTAAAACTTACAAAAATTCTTACAAAGATTAATCAGACTGTTTAACAACTGAATAGATGTAACAATATATAAAAAAAGTTGATAAAGAAAAAAAGTGGCACAATAAAAAGAAAATTTTAATTCAGTCTTGAACTCAAATTTCTATTAATTTTTGTTTCCAATCACCGATCAGAATTATTTTCATTTATTATGAGTTGTACATCAATATTTTGATGTATAAGTAATTTAAATAAAATTCACACCTTTAATTCTTCAATAGTATGTCAATTATATTATATATATATATAGGTAGCATCATGTTAAATTATTTTATTTAATATTTTTTATATGAAATATAATATATATTTTAGTTAATTAAAATCCATTAATTAAAAGTAAAATGACAACACTTTTTTTCCTCTAAAAATTCTTTGCACACAATATAATAAAATCAAGCCACACAATAATTGCTCAAATTTTTATAAATAATTCGTTTAAATTAAATTTTTTTAGACTCAATTGTATATGATTATTTCTGGTAAAATAAAATGATGTACCTTCATCCTAATTTTTTATCTCCTCATAAACATTGCAGCATGAAAGGCCTCTAAATCAGGCTCAGCAATAGTACTGGCTCTTTTCGGTACATAACCTCTCAATTGACTACTGAAATTAATTTGATTAATACATGATATTAATTTATGTACTTGTTTTTGCCTCGATTGTAAAACTTTTGTATTGATTGAAAAATTGAATAAATTTATGCTCCACTCTTTAAGAGCAAGAAATGAAAATTATTTTATCAATTATACAAAGAAGCAGCAATGCGAAGAACATACAAGAAAGCATAACATAAAGAATTTAGACTTATTTATTTTCTGTAAAACCAAAAAATGACAAAATATAGTTAAAATAATCCTTTGCTACAAGGTAGATCTGGTTTTTTCTATATGAGCAAATTAATATTAAATTATTATGTATATTTTATAATTAAGCGTTATTTTTCAAATAATTTACCTGGTGGGTTTCAATGCCGGTGCTGTTGGTTTATTACCCTGTCTTGGATTAACTAGCAACATTCATAGGCTGACCATCTAGTTGTCGATTGTGAACACTCCACTGCTTGTTGAGCATCAGCCAATGTCTTGAAAATAACTTCAGCAGTTCCCGGTCTAACCAAACGAGATTCCAAAAGTTCTCCAACATCCTCAAATAATTCCTGTAATATAAAGTTTAATTCAAATTTTTAGAAGTTATTTTTAAGACAAGAGGGTTTTTAAAACATATAACAATAAATTACGTGTTTACAATTACACACCTTAATATCCTCTTGGGTAACATTTGCTTGAAGGTTACTAACAACTATTCTATACCCTTGTGGTAAGTTATAACTTTGAACAGGTCTGGACTGCTGTTGAGTTCTACTGCGACTAGGAATTCTGGGAGGGCTTCTTGAGTAATCTTTAGATTCTGACACATAAAAAATACACAAAATGTAATATATATGTTATATATATATATATATATATATATATATATATGTTACGGTAAATGTGAATATTTCGGCGAATGTGCACATTCACCGGTGAATGTGCACATTTACCGGCTCATTTGGCGAATGTGAGTTCACTCGCGCATGTGCGGGTGAAATACTAATTCATATATTTATATTTATATCTCTATTTATATCTATATCTATATTTAAATTTATATTTATATTTTATATTTATATTTATATTATTTATTTTAGTCATATGCATATTAATATCTATTATTTATTATTCACTATTAACTATTAACAATTTATCTAATAACTATTAACTATGAATTATTAACTATTTAATTAATAACTATTATCTATTACCTATTTAACTATTCTTATTTCACTATTTACTAATAACTATTCACTATTTGCTATTATCTACTCACTATTTGCTATTAACTATTCAGTTATCACTATTTACTATTCACTATTCACTATTTAACTATCCACAATTCAACTATTCGTAATTCACTATATACTAATAACTATTCACTATTTACTATTAACTAATTACTATTACCTATTTAACTATTCTTAATTCACGTTTACCTCATAACTATTCACTATTTTCTATTATCTATTCACTGTTTACTATTAACTATTCAGTTATCACTATTTACTATTCACTATTCACTATTTAACTATCCACAATTCAACTATTCGTAATTCACTATATACTAATAACTATTCACTATTTACTATTAACTAATTACTATTACCTATTTAACTATTCTTAATTCACTATTTACTCATAACTATTCACTATTTTCTATTATCTATTCACTGTTTACTATTAACTATTCAGTTATCACTATTTACTATTCACTATTCACTATTTAACTATCCACAATTCAACTATTCGTAATTCATATATACTAATAACTATTCACTATTTACTATTAACTATTCACTATTAACTATTAACTTTTCAGTTATCACTATTCAGTATTTACTATTAACTATTCAGTTATCACTATTCACTATTCGCTATTTTACTATTCAACTATTTACCTATTAACTATTAACTATTCACTATTTAACTATCCACAATTCAATTATTCTTAATTCACTATTTACAATTAACCTATCACTATTTAACTATTTAGTTATCACTATTTACTATTTACTATTAACTATTCACTATCTAACTATTCAGTTATAACTAATCACTATTTACTAATAACTATTCACTATTTACTATTCATCTATTTAACTATTATCTGTTAAACTATTTAGTTATCACTAATCACTATTAACTATTAACTATTTAATATTTAACTATTTACTTAAACTATTAACTATTTACCTATAACTATTGAACTATTAACTATTCACTATTTAATATTAATTATTCATTATACACTATATTACTACTTTACCATTGAATTATTTACTGTTAACTATTAACTGATTAACTATTTAGTGCGCATGCGCCAAATACGCAAGATGTTCATGAGACCGATCCAAGTACGCACGTACACCATTATTTTATTTTAAATTGATTGTTTGAAAACTCCACATTCACCTAGCGTTTTGGGGAATGTGCACATTCACCGGTGAATGTGCACATTCACCAAGAGTGCACATTTACCGTAACATATATATATATAAAATAATAGATAAAATATGAGCAAACCTGATGATAAAATACCCATAGTCCTAACACGCGGTGGACTACAATCTAGTCTTGAATGGACAGAATCAGTTAAATCAATAGTATTAGTTCTAGGAACAAGATGAGCTGAGTTCCATCCTGATATGGCCCTATTTTGTGGTCTTTCTGGTGGAGGTGTCACTTCTCGTAACGATCTATATCTACTTGGTCTTTCATATATTGCATCAACAACATCATCATCAATATCCATGGCTACAGGGCTTTCCATAATATTGCGACTGTAAATTAATTGGAAATAAAACTAAATAAAAGCACAATGAACATTCAATGTATTAAATCTCATTCTCAGTTAATAATTTTAAAATCAATTAGTTTAAATAAATAAACTACATATAAGTATCAATATAAACAGTAGTCACATGAAATGAGAGAAATATTACTGTGTTCATTCATCCATCAAAAATAGTTTCATTTTGAATAATCAGAGATGCATAATTTTACATTTTCACACATTTAAATATGTATGATAAAGAATATATATATATATATATTTTTTAAAAAAAAAAAAAAATTATTAATATTGATAGACTTACTTTACAGGTACATTTTGATTAACAGTGATTTTCATGTGCAAATCTTTAGGAATGATGGACTGTGGCTTGCGAATAGTTTTAACATTGCGGCTGATTGAGGAATCCCAAAGTGAAGATCGATTGCCAATGTCAGGCAATGGTGGCATCCGAGACATTGCATAATTATTTTTAAATGTCATAGTTATAGGTAAATCTGAAAATGTTGATGTATTTAGATGTTGCACCACAAATATTCTTAAGACTACAAATAATTATTTGGATATATATCTAAAATATTCATAAATAATGAGCTCAACCTGAGCGAATACAATTGTTCTTCACTGACCATTGTAACGCAGCTGGCTGGCGTACAAAATCTAAAGCATAATCAAATAATTATATGAGGTTATAACATTGCTTAATTAATAGAATATATATTTAAAATATTGATAAATAAGGAGCTCAACCTTAGAGAATATAATCGTTATTGATTGATCATTTCAACACAGCACTGTATTCAAAATAGTATATTAAATAATTTATGCTATATTTTATATTTTCCTAAGAAAACAATAAGAATGGGATAATAGAAAAATAATAAAAAGTTATTCAATATTTGAATTTTTAAAAACTACAAGATTTATTGTGAAATATTGATTAGTAGTAAAATTGTAAGAATTATATTCATGTAGTACTTTAAATATGAATGAAAAACTTCAAAAATATTTAAAACAGACAGAAATTAGAATTATTATTTATATACCTGAGGGAATAAGTTCCTTCTTGGCAGGTCGTTGTAAATCCGCTGGTTTCCGTACAAAATCTAAAATATACAATCATATATTACTAATAAATTAAAGTTAATTTTTCCTAATATAACAGTTTGTTAAATTTGACAACATAAAGTGTGAATTACATAAAATCATTATGATTATATTATATATTTTATAGTTATTTTATTCAAAGTTTCAGGGATATGGAATGTACCCTTCGTCAGACACTATTGTTAATGATATTTTTCATTTTTTATTATTCACTTAATTATTTAGTGAAAAATAATCTTAATTAATCTAAATAATAATAAGTTTTATCATTAATATATATATATATATATATATATATATATATATATTCATTTTTGTATGTATACCTCTTTTTGTAGATAAACTAATTTGGCCACTTCTGTTAGTCGATAAGGCAAATCGACCATTTCCAACATTTTGAGGAAGCTGCAATTAATCACTTATATATTCACTAATGCCATAATATATATCTACATAAAATTAACTACTTATTACGTTCTGTTTTCTCAACTTTTGCAGCTTAAGTCTTGCGTCAGTTTTTTTAGCAATCTGCGCTAGTTTATCACGAGCATCAACTAATTTTGTCCGATTTTTTTGTATTATCTTCAATCTAGCATCTTTAATATTTGCCTTTGGTACAGACTGAAATGCTCCACGTTTTTTAGGTATTCTATTTTTTCTGTAAATCAAACCAAATGTAATAATATATTACATATATTGCATGTTAAATATTTTCGTTGATATAAAAATTTGAGAATAAATAAAACAATGAATTGAAGAAAATATCGTGCGCTCAAACGCTTATATATAATATATTAGGGCGACTACGTTATTGAGTTTATCATTAATGCAGACATTAATACAAAAATACATTAGAAAGTTACCCATTTCGTTTCTGGAAATTTTGCATTTTTTTCTTTTTAATTATTTCTGCTAAACTAATATCCATCGTATTGACTTTTAACTATAGCTATTTTATAAATATCAGTAATAGAATAATAAGTTGATTTTAATATTAACCAAGCACAAATATTTTCGATATGTGTCAAAATTGATTTTTATCTATCAACACCAATGAAGTCATCCCAAAAAAAAAAACCGTTAATATCATATGTAATATCCGCTAAAACTAGAAAACAAATTTTGTCATTCAGCCCATAGATAAATAAGCATTCAGAGCTCCAGAGGAATAATGAATGATACATTATATACTCTTTTTCATCTATGGGCCGATAAACAATTATGTATCGGATATTTTAACAAATTAAACATTATATTGCCTTTTGCAAATATTTCTTTACAAAAGATTAACGTAACTTATCTGAGAAATAATACGAAAATGGGCAAGCTCTTCTCTAGCGGATTTTAAGTGAAACTTGACGACCAACAAATATGGCGGATGACACATTTATGAGTTGAATTTGCTGTCAACTAATATTTGTTTTAATGTTTAAACGACACGCCGTTAAATCCCAAAAAGATGTTATTTGCAAAAACACCCAACGGACGTTAAGTTTATTTTAGTCTAGTTTTCTTTTTATTTCTATTATCTGGATTGTTTTTATCAATTACATAAAGGTTTATTACGTATTTATTTATTATCATTTAATTTTATAAAGATTAATAGAATTATAATAAGAATTTCAATTTAAGGAGTAATACTTGCATAGATAAAAGAAGAGTGAGAGCTGAGTTCGAAACGTGTTGCATGGATCCAAATAAAACTGTTGCCGACTGTCGGCAAGTACTTTTGCAGGTTGAAATGGTCTGGCAATTTGATTTTTGAACTTCTCAATGAATAAATTAAATCATATAAAAGTTTGAAGGAACAAGTTTACAGTTCGTCTTTTTTTTACACTTTCAAACGTCTAAGAGAGCATGATGTGCACACTTTGTGAAATGACTATTTGCAATATAAAAACACATCTAAATATTTATTTGGATTTATTGGTTTTTCATGCATAGACAATTATATAATAATGGTTCTTTTCGTCATAACGGAATAATTAAATCAGAATGTAATATTACCAATAAAAAATATATAAATATTTTTAGTGTTGCATTATTAAATGTATTTATTGTAATACTTATTACTATTTCTTGTGCTATAAAAATATAATCAATAAGCATCTATACTTAGTTGAATTTATCACATGACAAGCATGCAAATCAAAATTATTTTTATTTAATTTTGTTCTAATTTAATTGTGAGCTTTTTTTGTTGAAGAAATTGAGTATTTTGGAATTGTGTAATCATATACTAAATTTGCAATAAACTAATGTACCTCAACATTCTGAGGTTATTATAAAATACAAGAGCGTTTATGCCATTAATTTAATAACATAATTCAAAATTTAAAAAAAATACCATTCATACCAAGTACAATTCCATTCATCATGAATTAATTTTTTTAAATTTATTTTACTACTGCTTCTAATCTAATCTTACTTAAAAGTAAATATACTAAATTATACTATTCACAGACATTTTATATATTTTATATTTATATTATTAAAATTCTGCATATATATGCAAAGTATTGAGTTGTGCAAAGCACTCAATATTTCAGCCTTGATATAATCAAATATTTTTCTACATATTAGAAAGAATAGATTTAGTTGATGTCAAAATTGAGCAATACGTCATTTTCAATTGAAAGTCAATATTGAAAGTTTATCAAGTTAAACTATATGAGTCTAAGTACTCGACCTATACTTATACTTGACCTATTAAAATATTAATACTATTTTGATAGAATTATTACATTGCATCGAAAATAAATTTATAACCATGGGTGCCAAGCAGGATCCATACGACACAAATTATTGAAATTTGTGGCAGCAGTAACAAGTGTGCTGACTTTACTATCAATTCCTTCATAAGTTGCAATGCTATTTAGTCGAGATGTTATAGATTTAACTACGCCAACGGTTAAAATGATGTATTGCTCTGAATCATTCACAGAGTTGTCAGTTGCTTTCTCTTGTTGATTCAGAGACTGTGCTTCACGAGTTTCATCCATACCTTTGTTTCTTTCTTGAATTATTTTATTATCTTCACGTCTTTTATATGCTGTTATAATTTCGTCACGTAATATTGTTTTTAGAATTGTTTGTACCTGTATTGAATGTTTGTTATTAGTCTTTTTTAAACTTATATAATTATTTTTTGTAAGTTTCATTAGTTTATTACCTTAAATGTAGGATGAGTCAAACATCTTGCTACAGATATCATGGATGCAGTCAGTGGTCCAGTAATTCCAAAATTTGAAACAAATTCAACAACATTTGGTGTTAGTCTAAATGGAACTGGCCTGTTACTAAGAAGTTCGCCTAAAAAGTTAAGTTTTAGACAATTAATTAGTATATTTATATTATATAAAACTTCGGAATAAAAAAATTATTATGTTTATTGGAATTAAATATATATTTTAATCTGTTTTCAACGATATTAATGAAAAAATCATATTAAAATTTAATTCTTATTCTCAAAAATTTTGTCACTTACCATATTGATTTTATCAATTAAATAGGTTATGATAGAAATTTTAATTCTTAATTAGTACTTACAATTAGTTTCGTCAATATCAAATTTATAATAAGCAATATTCATTAAGCCAGAATCTTGATGAATGTACATCATATCAGGGTTCAATCTGGTCAGATGAAGAACGTACTCCGCAAAACAGGATAGCGCCAATTGTAATGTGAACTAAAAATATTGATATTTAATAATGATTCAAACAAAACATACAAATGCACAAAATATATTAATTTAAATACCATTTTTCGGAAAGACCAATAATCCGTAGCATTTGGAAATGTTTTCAAAGCCCAATGCTTCAGCAAAGTTCTAGGAGCCATGGAATTTTGCACTTCTTGAAAAACATCCCTAAGAATTTCATAGCATATTTGCGAACCCCTTGCTTGAACAGATGCCAATCTCTCATAATATCGTGCTACTGGTGCTTCATGCTCAATAGCCAATGTAGTAGCACAACCTAAAACATGACACCACATAATCAGGTCTTAGCTTTCTTTTATAAAATAAATATCATGATCTAAAAATTCATATTTTTAAATTATTTTTCATATTATAAACAATTTATTTATTAATATTCATTTTATTTAACTTTGAACGTTTGAACTTTGCAATTCAAACATTTCTTTTATGTTCAGAATAATTTATTTTTAATTTTTTATGAAGTAAATTGTAGATAAGTTAAGAAATTGATGCGATTTATATACATGTCTTACTTTTTTTGTATATATCTAGTAGTGACAACGATGCAGGATTATCTTCTACCAAACGAATCTGTGGTGAAACAGCAACAACTTTTGGAATAGTGAAATGTAAAAATCTTTTTGAAGTCTCCTACAAATATATAAAAAAATTCTTTGCAACTTTATTTACATCATTCAAATATAATATATAAAAATTAGTGCAACTATTTAATATATAAAGTAGCTTTAAACTTAAACAATTATGATTTATAATTTTAGATTAGCTAAATAAGCCTAACATATTGTTTTTCATATACATATAGTTCTACAGTCTTATGTTACTGTTACCTTTTGTTTTCCGAGGTAATGATTTAACATTCTTAGTAATTGTAGTACTCGTTCCTCTCTTCTAGTATCACCAAAACATAAATAATTCACAACCAGGTACGGGTAAATTTTTCCATTATGTCCTCTAATAAAAAGTCTTCGAGCTGCAGCATTATGTTTCTGAACTATTTCAACACGTGGCATGAAGCGCGCGATCCGAACATAATAATGTGAATTTCTTGGTAACAAAAACTCTCCTGGTAACTCTACTTCAGCTGTCTTCAATGAAAAGTTGGACAAAAAGCGGCATTTCTCTTCTATTAAAAATGACCTATATTAATTTAAATTTGATTAATAATGACTATGTACCATAGCTTTGTTTGTTTATTTTCTGACTAAGATCACGTTCTTGACAGGAACACACATAGTTCCAAAATGCCGACAATAAACAGTAATTAGAAAAAAAGGTTTTTTATTACTATTGGAGTCCTTATTCAAAGTCAATACAACATATACAAATACAAGTAATGCTATTAATTTCATACTACACTCACTTTGGCAATAATTTTGTTTTGGCTTCTAAAATTTTAATCCATTTCTTGAATTTTCCAATCAGATTGTGTAATCTCATGGCATTTGGCTGACTAAAATCAAAATCTTTTTTAAACTGATCTTTCATCTTCTGAAATACCGGATCTTGTTTAGTTGCTTCGGCTCTTCTAGCTAGACATTCTGAGGCTGCTGTCGGGAATTTTGCATGAGTTGAACTTGAGATATGTTCTATAAATAATTGAATTTGTTATTGTTAATTCGAATATGAACAGAAACAGTTTATCAGAGCATTAAAGATTAATTGTATAGATACGTTTCGACATATATAGTTATATCTAAATATAAACAGAAATACTGAAGGATAAACATAAGTAAAAAGCGCACTCAATCTTATACTTATATATATATATATATATATATATATATATATATATATATATATATTAATATATATTCAAAATTATGTGTACCAATTCCAGTTCCAAATGTTGCTGCAAGCTTTTCTACGAAATTTACTGTGTGAGGCGTGATTCGAGCTTTACCCACAGCAGCACGATTCTCAAAAGCTACTGCATGACACTTGGCAAGCCCTTGGCGTAAATGTCGTAAGACTTCTTCATAACCATTCTCTCGGAACCAATCCATCTAAATAAATATTTTAACTCACAATGATTAAATAGATTAAAAAAATCACAAAGATTTTCTTAATTCAAATAAAAATATGTGCTGGTATATATATATATATATATATATATATATATATTTACATATATATTTATATATATATATATACCTACAAATATATTTTATATTCGTATTATACAACTGTATGAAAACCTAGAGTGGAGAGTCAGATGAATATTGTATTGTAATTAGCTATTTTTTAACCTAAAGCATGATGGCTAAGTCAACCCATAACAACGCTGCTGTACGTACCTGGTCAATAATTCCCTCTAAGGATGAAAGTACCATTGGATGTATTTCTTTTTGCATGTTCATAATTCGCATGCAGCGCCATGTGGTGGGAGACACTTTAATCGCTTCGCTTACTGGTGTCTGCTGAGCTGTAGAAGGACTGCGAGTTGAGGGATTGTTTAACTTATGCCATTCTCGCTCTTCTATTTTTAGAGTGAAGTACATTGTACGTGTTAAAAAATACACTGCTTGTGGAAACATCCTGCCAATCTAAATTTTTTAACAGAATTAGTCACATTAATTTTACAAGCACCTATTTGTGCAAACTTATTTCCTAAAATAATATCATTAAGATTACCTGCGTCAATAAATTCATAATAACTGTATTATTATATTGCACAAGAAAAACAAGCAGTTGTGGAATCCAAGGCAGCCATAATAATAATGGAATGTTTCCTGCATATTTATCAACGGCCGCCATTAATACACCATTGCTATTATCTTGGGCCATCATCCACAAAACCTTTAAAACATTAGAAAGAAGAAACATTAAAAATACTTCAATCTAATATTCTAATATAACCCCGGACATGTCTGCACATATAAATATCTAATGGTCCTATTAAGAGCAGAAAATGTCAAACAAATTATGTTTGCAGTACCTGCAGTTGAAAACCTGGACTGCACATTAAAGAATATTTGGAAAAATTCTACACATTTCAGAACATATCAAAAATAATTTACACAAAATAACGTTAATATATTACTCTACAAATAATCTAAGTTATCACAGGAATTAATAAATCTATTCATTGTTCCAAATCCAGCATAGTACGATACCCATATCCAAATTGAATATGTCCAAAACATGTTAAAACAACAATTGCAAACCTACAGTAGAAATTGTATTTTTTATCGTTTCATTATTGTAGAATTCAGGAAGAAATTAAATATATCAAATATTTCTATACAAATTTATGAATTTATTACCTTCGCTAAATATTTTCTAGACTTAGATTCATTCTGATTGCGACAAGCATGTAAATAGCATGTGATAGCACTTTCTCCAATTGTAATATTTTTTTGTGTATCTCGGGAATATACAGATTCAAGATAATCACCCCACAATGCCCAAGCCTTAACTAGTTTGTCGTGCGTGCTTATTGCAAACGAGAACGCTTTGTTTGCATCCTCAGATCTCCCTATTAAATAATAATGGCAATATATAAAATATACATACACAAATAAGTAATATATTAACTTGCAGTATTAATTTTTTTACCAACTATACCTAATTGAGCAAGAAGCATTCCTTTCAATGAATACAGTTCTGCAATCATTTCATTTCCCGTGGTCTGAAAGTATTTGAGTTGTGTAGACTCAATTACTTCCAACCCGCCCTGCAATTCTGCTTTACTATTATAAGATGCCATTTGAAGATAACACTTTACTTGCTGCCTAATTTTCTGAAAACAGTCGACTATAGGTACACTTGGTATAGTATAGATTCGAGACAATGAATCTAAACAAACATCAGGAAGATTGTGTTTACGTGCAATCTTTGCGAAGTGTATGAGAGTCTGAAAAAAAAACAAAAGTTATGATAGGAGATAATGATACTTTTAAGTTTTAAGATCTCATTGTGATGTAGTATATCAGGTTGTACCAGAACTCAACATACAGCCAAAACACCAAAATGAAAACAATTAGCTTTTCTACCCTAAGCAGCCTGAATGTTATGAGCCATTAAGAACAACCTTGCGCTTTGAATTTAACTAAAACCAACCTCAGCACTAGCATGTACACCCAACATTCCAGTGCGTTTATTTCCAGCGGTTTGAGATGTAGCACTATTCCAACAGTACGTTCCATCGGCTCGTTCTTTTGTTCGTAATGGCTCGCAATGTATGGTAGTGATGTTGACGCCAGGTAAAGATATCGCTCCAGTGCGACATATCGTCTGCTATCACGGGTAGTCTATTTCGCCAAGTTTTAACTATTGCGTTCATATCATTTTGTGTACCTCCATCTCCAACATACCCTGGTGAATATTAGCCGCTTCTTGTAGTTCCATTACCTGTTGCATTCAATAATGTTGAATTTACATTAAATTAAACATTTTATATATATATTATATATAATCTATATATATATATAAAATATATATATATATATATATATATATATTTGTAATATTTTTGCAGCCCAACCGTCGAATTAAAAAAAGATTAAATAACAAAATTATTTATTCCATTAAACGTTTCGGCACTTGATGTGTGTCATCATTCAATAATCTAAAAACATAACATAAACAAATTTGATGACAAATATAAATATATAAATAGAGGAAATTATACATACCAAACCAGGCAAACAACAACAGAAAAAATTAATTATGATGTAAAATTGATTGAACACTAAATTTGTGTAAATAATAAGATACTATTATATTAACAAACGAGAAATAGAAGAGCACATATTGCCCTTCTATATTTAATGTTATTGATAGCGGTGCATTGTAGACACTGTTCAAGTTTACAACGCAGTGTAGTCACACACGTGTAATGAGCGAGTTGTGAGAAACGAAAGGGGAAAGAAAAACAGAGAAGAAATATAACGGACGAAAGATTCTAAAACTGTATAGAATTACTCTTCATAAAATTAATTATGACTTTGTAACTGTCATGTAAGAGATGTGAGGAATTACGTTTGTTTACACAAGAAGTATTAAGGGATATAAGTAAAGACTCAACTATCTTTCTAAGGTCACAATTTTTTCAATGTAAAGGATGGAAGGATTTGACATGTTAAAAGTGTAATTCAGGTTTATCAAATGTTCTGAAAGCATCATTTTGAATTGATTTGGGTTTCTAGAATTATATACATGTTCTAGAACCCAAATATATTATATAATATATATATTATATATATATATAAGCATAAACTTTATACATATATGGATATGTGTGTATGTATATATAAATATATATTTTACCCTTCAACATATGTATATATACAAATTATATATAATATAAATATAATATAAATTATATATATAAATATATAAATATACTTTTATAAATACTTAAACCACTAGCATTAATATGCTACATACTGTTTTATGTATTAGATTGAACTGTTCGACTTTTGACAATACTCATAATATTCAGATTTACAAGCGCATATCACACCTGCTGCGCAGCCTGCAATAATGGCAAATGCACATGAGAAACTACTCGTGGTAGCCGCGCCATTCACGCATGCACAAGTAGCGCAAGCTCAACATATCGGTCCAGCATTTTGAGGCAGTTTCGTCTCTTATCTGGTGGCTCGTCGGTTTGGCAGACCGCTAAGTAGGTTCGGTACAAATTTACACCGCCATATAGACTCCTTTGGACAGCTATACTCGCTCTGCATAAGGACAAAATTAAAAACTGTTTCGAATTATAAGATTTTGCAAACTACTGCTGAACGATAACTGCTGTTTGCTAAATATGAAGATTTTATTTTATTTATTAGGCAACATACCGATATCGTTTATCCAAAATTATTCGATGATAAACTTACCAACTGTAAACAAACACATATGTTAATATGTAATTAATAGTTAATGTTTAAATAAGTAGTATAGATAAATACTTGAGCCAAAGCTTCCTTCATAAGATCCCACTGAGGCACTCGCCAAGCACTCTCTAAGATGAGAAAAGGATTTTTTTCAGCTTTACTTCTGCCATAGTTAAGTAACAGGTCCCATTGATTCAACTCTCTAGCGCATCTGGTCCAATGCTGTTCCCAAAGTTGTGCTTCTCGCAGACTATTTGGGACCATTGGCCCAGAAGCACAATCTTGTATGTGTCTCGACATAGCTACCTGCAACATTTTATTTTTTACACTTAAAGAAATTAGGTCAATCTTTTTATTTTTTCATTTCATTTTTGTATATAAAACCACTTCAATTGATATATCAAACCACTTATATTAATGCTTCAAGTATCATAAAGACCTTTAGCCAGTAAACACTTATTATTACCTCATAAGTTCCTTGAGCTTGTTCAAAAAATCCTTGTTGTTCATATGCAATAGCTATAGATGTTTCTTTATAGCGAGCGTGCTTCTGCCACAATCCAGACCATAAATCCTCCTCATGCAGCAAAGAATACATATCACTCAAAGAATTTAAAATATCCTGAAACAAAAATATTTTCACAAACATTCAAACTAATGCACTAAGAATAATTTATAAAATTACTGTTTGCAATGTATCATCCGCTTGAAATTCATAACAATCTAATTTTTCTTCTTTGATTTATGTTTGATGTTATCATCTACTGACATTTCTTCCAGATTTAGAGTCATTCGATGCCAAATATTATGAGTTTTCCCCAAATATTTCATAACTGCCCTGCAATAAAATAAAAACTAGTGTATAATAATGACCATTTAGGGTAATCTTGAACCTGGTAACAAACCTGTTATTTCAAACCTCAAATTGAATACATTGAATACTTTCTGAATCATACACATTGGTCGATTCAATGATAAATAATGAACTAGTCACTAATATAATATAAACTTGAAATCTTTAGATACTTACGGTTTCAAAGCAATTGGTGGATAGCAATGCGACATTGCCTCAACAAATGTGTTTTACCCACTCGGCTGACATCTTTTTGTCCAACAGTGTTCCACTACATATGAATGGTACAATTTCAGCCACTAAAGTCTGTAAATATTATTGTCATTTTAGTTTGGCATAAACTATTACATATAAACAATATAAAATACAACTTAACATTTCTTTGACTACATTCTAATATACTCCATATCTTCGGAAATATATCGATCCATATACTTTCAGCCAAATTAATATCTGTGTGACAAAGCTGAGATGCTGCAATTAATAGTTGTTCAGTTTTTTATTGCCTTGCCTCCATACAAGATTTTTTTAAAATTAGGAATACAATAAACATACTTCAGTGCCATAATTATTATAATATAATAGTATCCATATTAACTAGTATTGTAAAAAATATTTAACAGCTAATATACTTCTAAAATCAATATCGATCTGATTCATTACTTATTATTAGTACCATACATAAATAAATTTATTTATTAATTAATAATTTATGTAATTCCCGTGCTGTGAATCATGGTCAAATTTTGTTTTTCAGTTTGTAATTCAGTACTTGTAATTAAGTAGTGCAAAATAAAGTATAGGCTGAGAAATACCTGAATGAATTTGGCCTGAAGATTTATTATATCATCTATTGAGCTTTTAGTGGTAGTTAACTTCGAAGCCTCTAAGGCTGTCTTTGCCTCTGCATTAGATGAATAATCTGTTACTATTTCTTCTGCTGTAGACTCACCTAAAGGATGTAGGATGTTAATTAATATAACTGATTGCAAGTATTAATATCAATTGAGTATTAATGTAATCCAAGTTTTCAATTAATTTTATAATTAAAAAGATTAATATAATTATAGGAATCTTATAATATTTTCTTCTGAATTAAAAAAAAACGCAGATATATATATATATATATATATTTTGTAGAGTTTCGAACAAGAATCCAAAATAATACAAA